TAACCAGACCATTTAGTGCACAGCAAGAGAACACTGCGTGAGCTCTGGCCCCAACAGGCTGCGATCACGTGACCACACAACATGGTAGAATCCCTGTAGTTTAAATCTGAGCTGGAGGACCGGTCCAAATACTACAGTAGAATGCGCTGTTCAAAGGTCCTATAGAAAAAGGATTAAATGGACTCTTGTGAGATTTTAGCCACGTTATAATGTTATTACTGTGTCAAAAACATATATGGAGTGTTTTGTTTCATTCACATCCTTTATTATAAATCTTTCTACATCTCCAAAGCTCAAAATGCTCTGGTCCACGTCATGATGTCATGAAATGCTAGTTTTCAAGTTAACATCCACTTTTTACCTTTTCTGTAGCCGATATTTGCAATTCCAGGGCTGAAATTATCCAAATGATTTTAGTGAAAGTGTATGAAGTTGAAAAACACAGTGGAGCCATTACCACTATTCTAAATACTGAATAAATTTTCATAGTATTCTTCCCAACATTGACAATAAGTCAATATTGTAATTATCGTGACAAGTCTAATTATGACATCCGGTTCTATAACGTGAACACAGCCTATTGTCCTTGCTGTGTCTCTGCCTGGAGTGTCCTTTCTGAGTGTTTTTGCAGATGGATATTTTCAGCCACAAAAGCTAACTTTGTCGCGTACAAAGTGACTCCTAGAATTCCCCGGAGAAAACGCATTTAATCCCAACTTGATCCAGGAATGAAAACAATTGTCAAACAGGGCAGCTTCGGGGATAAATCTGGAGGGCTGACCTTTCCCAAATGTCAGGGCTGTAGGAATTTTTAGATGGCAACTCGTAAACCCGAAACTGAGAGTGTGATTATGCATAAATGTGGAGGTTTGATGCCGTACTAGAGCCTTTTTACTATTAGTATGCTGAAACAATGATGGTTGTTTAAGATGAACAAAATGATGCTATAGGTCGTAATGTTATGTGTTATGTATCTTTAAAGCAGACCTATTATGCAAAATCAACTTTTCAGAGCTTTTAACCGTGTAATAGTTGTTTCCCTTTCTCGTTTACCCTCTTGAAGTTTTATTTGGAATGATTCGTGCCTGTTTGAGCAATCTTTAATCGCTTATTTTCAAAACGCCATATTGCAGATCAATCTCTGTTTCTAACACTACCGTCATATAGCTACTGCTCTGCACTTCGTTCTACAATTTATCGATGATACATGATGATTCAGTGGCGTTGCAGTTTGGAATAAACGAAAAAAAATCTGCTACCTGCTAATGTGATCTGCAGCTGTCCATAAGAGGGGCTGAAAGCTACATGGCTCTCTGTGGTGATGACGTTTACAGTAAAGTTTACTCCCACTGGGCATCACAGTTTTCTAAAATGGAAGTCAGCAAACTTGTTTTTTTTTATTACTGTATTTTTCAGACTTTAAGTAACACTTTTTTTCATGGTTTGGGTGGTCCTACGACTAATACTCCAGTGCGACTTACCTATTAAAATTTTCACACTGAGAGCCGCGAGAGGGCGCTCTAGGCTTGTGTGCCAGTATCTGCTACTCCTGTTACGCTGTATCACTGTCACTTCACCCTTTACTGTGCATGTCTCCTGCAGAAAGAGACATTGTCCTGCTGCAAGTAGTGAAATATGCAGCCAAAAAACGGTTGTCAAGCAGCAGAAAGAAAGTTTAGAGTGACCAACAAAGTGGGACTGGTGGAAAGCAGGGATGGAGAATACAGCTTCACGGCAGCTGGGTGGGTCCGCCATCGGCCACGTCTGCCATGCAACTTTCCTGAAAGCCATTGGATGGATCGACAAAGCAGAAATTCAGAAAGGCCGGAATAATTGTAACTGGAACTGATGCTGAGTCTGACGACAGCTATGCAGAAGAGGAAACGATGCTCTGTTTACTGTTTCCTGGTCTTTGATTTAATAAGATAAATTTCCCCTAAAAAGTGCGACTTATAGTCCAGTGCGATTTATAGTCTGAAAAATAAGGTAAGTTGTTTTAGGTGAGTTTTGAAATTTTAGGCGTTTTAAAAAGTGCAAATTATAACGAGTGTCATAGATTCTAGCTATATAGCAGACACAAGCACAGTGGGTCTTATTTAAATTATTTCTATGGTAATGTGCAAACTTAAAGGTGCGCTTTTTGGATGGGGGTATGTCACCTGCTTGTTTCTATGGATATGTCATCGCTCTGCCTGGAATGTTCCACAGTATGGCATTAAACAGCTTTATCTTACATTTATTCAATTACACGTGGTTTTCCAGCTCAAAAATACTAAGAAAAACACACGTTCTGACTGTGAACGGGGTTGCCTCTCCATAGATCTGACCAGTAATTTGATCTGGTTTAATCTCCACTGACAGTAGAAAAGGTTTAATACTGTGAAACACTCCAGACAAAGCAATAACATCTCCAGATGAGAAAAGCACAAAGTACTTAAGAAATGTATCACAGCCTTGTCACTGTCTTTTTTATGTATAACTGACTTTGGAGTTATTTGCACATGTGTGAAAAAAATGAACTTGTTGTTTTGGTTTAAACCACAGGGACTCGCTTTGGCAGCCATATTTAAACACTTTGAGTCATTTACACCTCATTTTCTCTCTGACAGCGTCCAGAATGACTCAAGCGGAGGTGGACAACAATAACTACACTTTAAAAATATGACAAAGTCGCACTTTTAATGCATGAGAGGAGACTGAAATACAACATGCAGTCATCCCAACAAGTACAGGAGCGTTCTTTAATGATGATTCAACGCACTAAAATCTAACTATTTGCCAGGAGACTGAAGCTGAATATATGGAAAAGCATAGTTTATAAAAATGTACCTACCATAAATATTGTACAACTACTAAAATAAGCATAATGAAATGGGACAATTAAACAATAATAGTTTACTTATCACAATAAAATGGGTAGGGTAGACCTTGAGCAGAAGAAAGCCATTACTTATGTCATATGTTCTTTTTTAGATTGCTGTAGTTTTCACTTATAAGAAAGTACAGTACTATGATAGTTGTTTAAACATGGAACTTTTTTTAATAATAATATTAAGAATATTGTTACCTCCTCAAAAACGTACCTGAAACTGCGTTTGTTTGTTTCATGTTTCATTCACAAATGTTTGAGCAGTCATTTATTATTAATCTGTCTACATCTCCAAAGCGAAGTGAAGTAGTAGCGGACATTTTCTAGTGAAGGTGATTCTAGTGAAAGTTTATCAAGTTTAAAAACACAGTGCAGTACTTCCTGTATTACAACATAGTGTTTTCTTTTTAAGAGAAGAACTCAGCCTAAATATGCAGGGTTTGTGTGTGGGAATTAAAAAAAAAAGACAATTAAAGATAAGTTTTTGATGAGGTAACAACATTATAACATAGAACAGAAAAAAACACAATATGGGCCCTTTAAGATATCAGCAATTTCAATAACCATCAGCATTTTATTGTTACTTGCAAATATTTTGGGAGTGAGAATTGTGACACAAAATCTCTATCTTGTCCCCCAACTAGCCATTATTGTCATTTTACTATCTATCTATCTATTAATGCAAGGACCGTCTGTCTCTGTTTGTTTGTCTGTTCCACGCATAACTCTCGAACCACTCATCCAACTGATCTCAAATTCACAGTGCCAATTTTCATGTTGTCAGGGAAAAAACGGCCAAAGATATTTTAAAACGAGTGAAATATTCAACAAAATCCAAATGTCAAACCAAAGTGAGTAAGGGTTTAAAACAAAAATACGATATCTTCACCCTCATAAAATTGCAAAAGATGTGGAAAGTCCAATCATGAGCAACTGACTAAAGTTTTTACAGAACATGAACAATAAACACAAATTATTTTAGCTTTTCTCCATGCCCACAGTTAAAGGTGCATTGTGTAACTTTTCTGGTAGAGGGTCTGTCAAATGCTTTTCTCCATGCAGATGTTATTGTTTTGTCTGGAATGTTTCACAGAATCATGTTAAGCCATTCTATTTTCATGGAGACCAAACCAGACCAAGTTACAGGTCAGATCTGTGGAGAGGCAACCCTGCTCACAGTCAGAATGCTTCTTTTTCAAGGTATTTTTGAGCTATAGATCCACCTGGAATTGAATAAATGTAAGGCAGAGCTGTGTAATGTCATACTGTGGAACATTGCAGGCAGAGCAATGACATTTCCATGGAAACAGGAAAGCGACGGACCCCTTACAAAAGAGTTGCAAAGTGCACCTTTAAAATAATCTTACATTTGCAAACAAAACTCACAGCCTCTTCAATACTGATTAGAACTTAGGCGAAGATGCAAATAATACTTTAGTCCGAAAGAAAGTCAATGAGCGCTTTATAAATCATAAATATAGATTGAATTTCCAGCGTCAGGTGAAACAGAAATCGAACGTGTCATTTGAACGTGTGTGAAAAGTGTCCATGAGTGATTGAGATGATTGTCGGTTTGACCAGACCAGAGTGAAGAGCTGCTGGGAAATCATTATGTGCGTAGCCTGGCATGCCGACCTGTTTATATCCTGAATTACATTTCATTGTGCGCTCTTGCATTAAATCACTGACTGGAGCTGGAATCAGTGTGTCTATGGTTGTTGTCGAGACGTTTTAAGGGACAGAAGTACTGAAAACTTTGAGCTTTTTTGTTTTACTGTCTCTTTTCAAAATGGTGGAAATTTGCAGTGATATCACGCTGGGGGTGCTCTACGTGTATCTCTATTGGCGGAATGTTTAGCTGTTACTCTGGTGATACAGTGCACACATTAGCAAACACAGACAGAAAGTTTTAAGATCGTCGGAAAACTCAAGAACAAAATACAAAGTGGATTTCAACAACGTAGTACACTGAAGAACATTTCTGGGTAAAGCAATAACATCTCCCTGGAGACAAGCACGCTTCACCAGAAAGGTTACACAGTGCACCTTTACAATTCTAAAACAGGAATAGGTGTAGTACTATGTACTTTATATCTGCATAATGTGTGTGTGCTTATTGAAATGGACTTACAGTGAGTTTGTTGGCACCAGTGCAGAGACTATGGGGTGTGCTGTCAGCTCCAGGCCCAGAGTCCAGCGCTCCGCACGAAGGCTGAGAACAAACCAGACACACTTTAGACATGGTTCATTTAAGAGATGTGATCATCAGTCTAATGCACAGTAATGTAATCTAATGCAGTGTATTAAGGAAGAGGCATAGTCTAATTACAAACAAATGGAACACAACTAGACACCATCTTAGAATATTGCATTGGTTTACACATGGTATATGGTCACATTTTTATATAGCGCTTTTCCAACATCAAAGCACTCAAAGCGCTTTACATCAAGGAACGTCTCGCCCATTCACACACACATTCATACACAAGTGTACACAGATACCAGGGGTGAGGTGGGTAAGTGCCCAAAGACATAACGACAATATTCATCTGTGGGATCGGTAATCACACCACCAGTGGACAAATACTCCACCAACTGATTTGATAATGCACATTTCATCTTATTTTGATATAGAAATTATATTAAAATGCATTTAATCAGGTCTAATTTAGTAAAAAGTAACAAAGGACATAATCCAGGGCACTACTATACAACAAACTCCTCAAAGACGCTTTACATTTCCTTATGTAGTCACTAAACTCAATAGCCACTCACGAAGCCACATCTGCCCTGGAGCTGACTGACCTAGAAATAGCTGCCAATCCTCGCCAATAGCCTCTGCATCTAGCCTGGCCAATCACAACCATGAGCTTTTACAATACTTTACAAAGAGCTGTGAGCCTGGAATCATATCCTGTCTCCATGATTTCTGATGGGAATGATTGAAAGGCGGATTAACCAATCAAAAAAACGCATGGTCTATTTGCGGCTAAACATACATGTTGGCTTATGAGTAAAATAGAGAGAAGAAAAAAAAAAACAGATAGAGAATCAGGGTGGATTTCAGCAGAATCAACAAGCAAAGCACAAGACTCTTATCTCAGGTAAGATGTTATATATTTTGTCTGGATTTTTGTGAGGGGATGTCTTCCGTAATTGAGGTACTACACCTTAGCAGCTATGATTACACCCTCCCAACTTAGGATGGTTTCTTGTCACGCTTTACGGCCCAATAGTCCTGACCCTTCTGGATTTGAACAGAAGACAGGAAGGACTGGCTGCTCTCTCCAACCATTAATGTTCTTAACACACGTTGACTGTAATTTTGTGTAACAAGAGTAAAAACACTGTGGGAAACAAATTCCACCAAGTACTTCACTGGTTATTTCTGGTCTGACCCCGACTGTGCCGAGTGGTCCACAGAAGTTAACAAATTGTATTTCACTTCCATGATTTGTTAGTATACTTGAGAGAATGAGTATGAAGACTGAAGATAATAGTCTGTAACTGTGTTCCCCCATTATTTATCATTTATCATTCTCAAATGATTCATGCATGTTTGGGAAATTGTATTGTTCTACATTGGAGTTTGAGTGCTTTCACTGACCACCAATCCCACCTATATTTAAAGTAAAATAAAACACTGGGTCATACATGCAAAGGTGGGATCTTTTAGCTCTGCAGTTTTGAACAAGAGGTCACTGGATCTGATTCTGTTATTAAGCTGTTTTAGATCAATACAGTAGTGTTATCATGATACTGACATTTCAAGGAATTCTTGAAAAAAAAACATTTCTAGTAATGGCATGTAATTTCCATATAAAAAATAATACTTTCTTAGGTCTTATATTCATTCTGATAAGATACTAAAACTGTTTGGAAAAGCTAAAATGTTGTCCTGTTGTGATATTTTTGCAGTATTGATTCTTGCTCAAATTGATACTAGTTTTTAATAACAGTTAGAATCTGATTGTTGATACTTTTCACAACCCCGCAATCCAGTGGTTTACAGTACATAAAATGTAAATGACTGAACTCCACATGTTAGAGTTTAATATTAAATTCCCCTCCACACTGGTTCAAGGCCTGAGCAGTGTACAGGAGTTATGGCGCACATGCTAAAGATTTAAGTTCAATCAGGCATTGAGGGCTGGACACCTGATCTTTCACTTGAAGCCGAACAGTGGGAGAGTGGTGGGGCCTCCCAGCGGGGGCTTGTACCTCCAGTGCTGTGCCTCTGAAGGGCTGCTATTTATCCAGGCTGCTGGGCTCTGCGGGGACTACTGTGTGTGTGGTAGCTATAGGCCCCAGTGGATCAGGGATGCAGGGAGAGCTGGGCAGATTTAGGGCCCTTCTGCTTTTAGACCTATCAATCTCGCTTCAAAATGGGAGGCAGTCTTCAGCTTTCCTCCTGGCATGTGAAAGTCCAAGGTTGAGAATGGATTTATGGCACTGGCTGGGAAAATCACATAAAACGTCTATGAGGTTGTGCTGTGTTTTGGGTTTGATTGATAACTAAGACAAGAACAAGAACTTATTTGTGTCCAAGGAAATCAAGTTTAAAACCATACCTCAGAAAATTCTCCATGAAGTTAGATAATAAATATGTTGTCAGTGCAACAAAACAAAAAAAACTAAGAAAAAAAAACATGCTTCTTTGATTTCAGCAAGTGGGCAAGATTTCCATGAACCTTTCCCACACTATGTAAAATGAAATGTTGGCCAACTAAAGCCCACATTTCATTACTGCGTTGGAAACACCTTGCTACTTCCAGAGTCCTGCATGTACTGCACAATGTTACACTCAAACCTAAACATTTTCTGTCTTGCTTTCCCTTTTTTAAGACGTGGCACGCAGTGGGTATAAAATAAAGAATCTTAACCTTTGCCATAATGTTGAGTAATGCCATAAAAGTGTAGCCGTTACCCAGACTGCGGTTACCCAACTCCTGCTGTCTAAGTTTAGAAAGATGTATGTTATTTTAAAGGAAATCCTGGTAATATTGTTTATTTGACTATTGTATAAACACTGGGCTAAAACTTTCTAAACATTGCCGCTAATGATATTAAAGGTAAGCTTAAAAGCCCAAGTCAACGGAAATGACTTAAGGATGTAGATTCAGTTTCGGAGCAAAACAACCCCCTCGGTCCATAGGAGATTTGACGGGGAGTTTTTCTTAGGTTTCTGTCTGCTACAAAGAAAACATTTGAGCTTCTTGGTAATCCGCCGCGAGCCCTCCCTGAGCTCCTGGGCCCTTCCTCCCTTCGGCCATCCCTGCGGCCCGGGTCGGGGACGCTAACCTCCCGCTCCTGTATCACACACACTCATGCTGGGTTTGGGTGCCTCTTAGGGACATTGCATTGATTTCCATAGATTTCTTGGAGACTGATTCTAACCTTAAACCTAATCTTAACCCATTTGAACCCATATCTGAACTATGACATAGATAAATGCTTTATTATTAGATCAAGTTTAAAGGTCAGATATGGGTTAATCTGCTATGGGCATTTTAGGTCATTTAGATCGCCATTTTATCGGGATGTAACAATAGCCAAAACATCGTATCGTCAAAAGCCTCACAATAATATCATGAGCCAGCACAATATATTGAATATCGAAGTCTCTTAAGTTATAGTGCAGCAATATAGCAACAAAAACAGAAGGAACTACATAGACCATGATCTTTTTCGCAGTTTCAGTGCCAATTACATAAAGAAATATCTCAGATTATGACAGAATCAAAATCTTGTCAATGCATTTTAAAAGGAAAAAGTAACATATTCACATTTTGTATGCCTCCACAAACTATCCGTACCATGAGATGTATATCGTAAAGATATCGTATCAAGGGACTTGGACATGATTACATCCCTACCATGTTACCGTTTATTGTTTTGGAAATGCTATATTTGCTGAAACATATTAACATATTTAAATTTTCCTTTATGGTGCTCTGAGTCTCTGCTCCCTCTGCTCTCTAGGCTAAGTCACTCCCCCTTCTTTCACAGAACACACTCAGCGTGCATCCCGCTAATGAAACTACTCCACATCGTATCAGGTTTGTCAAGTTGTATACAGTTTTGCTTCATGCGTTTGTATATTTATGGAGAGCTGTCGTGTGGGAGCATGGATTACATCGGCTTGTGGACTGTGCGTTGAAATGTTAATACAGCTAACCGCAATGAGAGTTCAAATAAGGCCTGGCAGAGATCACTAAATTACTGAAACATGCAAGGAGGACATCTAAAACCTCTTGGCACGGAAACCCAACATGCGTGGACGGATAATTATCACAGTTCCCCACAATGTGATAAATAGCTGCCCGAACACGCACAGTAAGGGAGTGTTTTCCGAGAGTGTCCATGACCCCTGAGGGACCCGGCTGACCTTCCTGTTGACGTCAAAGTGAATGGGAGCAGGAGTCGGAGCAGAGAGGGGCTCCACCCAGGGGGCTGGAGGTCTAATCACCAAACTCCTCAGAAGAGACACAGAGGAAACGTTAGCATTCCGCCATGGCTCACTCAGCTTATGGCCACAGACACAGGTATATGAGGCAAAGAGGAGTAGGAAAAATCACTTTATGTTTGCTTTCCGTCAACTGAACTGTAGCTATTAACAGTGTGATATGATATGTTATGTTCCATTTGTCATTTAGTCTGTTAATGTCAGGCCTGTCACGATAACAAATTTTGAAATATGTGATATATAGCTGCAGTAAATATAGACGATAAATTTTAATACTGAAACTAATCTACGCCACTGACACAGAAACCCAAGAGCAGATAAACCACAAAAAGTATTCTAAATGTACAATATAGTTAATGAGCTACAATAGATAAACTGCAGAATGAAACACTGACTCACAGAAGCCATTAATTTAACAGTTTAAATCTTACAATATAGCCAAAAAATACCCCAAAATGTCACAGTAGTGCAAAGAAAAAGTACACATGATAAATACTGACCCCTAAATAAATTGTCCCAACTTTCACATATTGAACAATAGAAAGTATCCTGACTGAAATCTGAAATGTGTTAACCTTATTCCTGAATTTGCCACAAGCGTCACCATTATAATTCTGGTTGTATGATTTTGCATTGGGGTGCTGATCTCAATTGCAAAGTTATAAACAAACAACAAAGTCAACCTGCTTTATAAAATACTTTAATGGGTAGACTTTTTTCTCTAGTTCTTCTTTGAGATGAATGGG